ACGGTTACGGTTAACCGTTCGACCGGTTATTAACGGTTACGGTTAACCGTTCGACCGGTTATTACGGTTACGGTTATTTACGGTTACGGTTAAACGGTTAATAACCGTAACCGTTGCATGCCTAGTTTCTGAAAACTCATCAATTAACTTTAACTGTGTTGTATTACCAACATATTCTTGTTTTATGACACCGATCAATTTGTCAACTATATCTCGATCCATTTTAATAACATTTCCTAATATTATATTAGCCGCGTCGGATAAAAGAATACCATGATGTTGAGCACATTTTTGAACAAGTCTAGTCGGTGACGATGGCCGTTCCATACTCATCAATATACCAATAAATAGTTGAAACCACATAAAATTTCCATTTTCTGTCGCTAAATCTATATTTGTATCATCAGGGTTAAATGTACTAATTGGTATTGGAGTTTCTGTATTTATCATGTGTTGTCGTTCTTTTTGATTGATGAATATTTTATTAATTAGGTCATCTGTATTTGTAATAATGGCTTTGATCTATGGAAACAAAAACAAAATCTAGATGTTTTTTTTTTGATTTTGAATGTAGAAAAATCCAGCTATCTGATAACAAAATAGCGAGAAAGAAAGTATTTAAAAGAATTTGTAAATGATGATTTTAAAAAAAGAGAATGTGTTTTAGATGTGGCAAATAACGAAATTATTCTCCTTAGAAGCCAATAAGAGAAATACTTGTTTTCAAAAATGAATAACGCTTACATATTTAGATATGAGAATTCATATCTTTTTAAAATGTAGTTAGTTCTAATACGCTGCATATTCATCGTTTCACTCAGTTTAACTCAACATCATCTGTCCATAGTTGCCTGACCAAGCCATATTTGTATCAAAATCGTAACAATATACATAAATTGCAGTTAACGGCGTCAAATCATGTATCAATGGAATGAATTCTTTACCTAACTGATCATCAATAATCAGAACAACTTGTTCACATTTTAAATCGGTAATGTAATCTACACATCTGTCTACATCATCAAATGATTTGAAACAATTGATTATTGATCGTAGTTTTTGTTTTGTCTCACTATTTATAACATTTTTAACATTTAAATTCAATCAAATAAGTGCAAACTCTTCTAATATTCGTTCTGATTGTTCGCAAGTTGTAAGTTCTGACATCATCATTTAGCTTCATAAACATGTAAAATATTCTCACTACTTATCTATCTGAAAATATAACATTTAACACAAATATAACATTTTCTGTTGAAAAGCTTCCAATGTAATGCTCGTGACATAAGAATGCAAAATACGTTCGAGCCACTTCAGTTAGATAAGTTAAATAAAACCCCTCTATAATAGCAGACCGCTCCATATCAGAACGTCTTCCGTATAACCACAGACAAGAAATGAGTATTCACAGTTGTGTTGTTTACCTTTTTGAAGCAAGTATAATGCAAAAGAATGAAAGTTTTTGTTTTTGAATGCACAAGACTACATTATGCATATAAAAACGTATCTAATAAATCAAATGATCATACTTATTTATATCAATGAAATTATAAAGCGTCAACATGAAGAAAAAATAACAAAAAAATTTTCTTTTATGGACACTTAATTTTTCCCTGAGTAGTTACGAAATATGACTGTCTTACATTTGTTTTATCAAGTGAGTAAATAGACAGGTACTCTTTTTTTCTTTGTATTGCATTATTAGCAGCTTTTTAATAGTTTATATTGAATGCAATTACTCAATTATTAAGAGAGTTAGCCTTTAGACTCAAAATAATGTAATAAATAAGAAATCAAAGAGTGTAGAAGAATAAACAGTCATTATAATTTTAATTTTGCTACGAATAAGACGAATCTGGTTTACTGAATGAAAATTTTCTTTTTTCGTGTGTGTGTGTGTGTTAATGATTACATTAGTAGAAAAACGAATACAAGAAAATATCGCGAAATAAATGCATATAATGGAATTTTAATTTTACGAGTATGTGATTAGTTGAACATATCATAAAGCGGTAAAGTCGCGTTTCGCCAATTCAACTTTCGCCATACTGGCGACTGGCGAATGTCCACACGACATTCGCCAGTACCCGACATTCGCCAATTATGGTGAATGTCCATCCTATAAAGCAAAAGTTGATCTGTATATATTTTCATTTGTTTTTTGAGAACTTTCGTGAGTTAAGGCGCTATTGTTATGAGGCTTTATTGGCCAATAAATTGACAACCACTTTTTTTCATTCTTATTAAACGCATTAATTCTTTTGTGTCCAAATGAGTCAAAACATTAGTATCATTTAACTTTAAGAAAAGTATAACCAAAGCAGCGGTTTTAATCATTTTGAATTTCCAACGTTTCGATTTATTAAAAAATCATTGTCAAGGATATATACAGAAAAACAGAAGATTTTCTTTTAAACTGAATGGTAT